TGGGTAGTATAATTGAAAGAAAAGTAAAAATTTGAAATTCAAAGAAGAAATTGTCTCATAGGATGGCCCAGGACAATGATGATTCAAGCTTCCTCTATCATTTTATGCTCCTACACAGCAAGGTAAATTAAGTTTAGACACTTGAATAGTAACAACAAAAACTCACTTTCTTTTGCTTCTTTTTCTTTCAAAAAAATGGTCTCTTTTGATTCATTCCCAGTTTAACAATTAGAATCTACTGAGACATCATGTTCTGAAAATGAAAGGCCTCATGGGATATTCTAATGAATAGCTCTCTCAGGCGGAGCGTGGTGTCCTCATAAAAACTGAGTAATCTGAGACAAAACGGATTAGACTTTCATCTTACTGCAGCTTCCCTTCTCTTAGTTCACAGATGCACAGAGAGTAAGAAAGGGGTAGAAATGAAGGAGTCAAGTGATATATTTTGAGGTAAGAGATTAAGATTGAAAGTTTGGTGAATAGGAACATGGCTAGTACAGATTACATAATATCAGCACCAGCATTTGGATTTTAGCATGAGTCTAGCTGGTGAAACTTTTAGAAAAAATATTTTACTCAATGGCCAAGAAAGGATGGATAACATAATCCCTTGAAATATGATTCTAATTATTTTGAAAGTATTATCTGTTATAGAAGTAATAACATAAGTAACAATTATTTTCTTTATAATGCATGTTATGTAGATTAAGAAATGGAGTTGTGGAAATATTATAATATTTGTACAAGGTTACAAAACAAGTAAAGAATGTTTGATTTGTCCTTCCTTCATTCCAAGTGACTCAGGCTTTAAGGTGGGTTTCAACAGAATCCATCTGCAAGAAGCTTATGCTGTGGGTGTTAGAAATCACCTTACTGTGATTGTCTCTAGAACTTATGATGACTCTATTATCGTGTACTGGAAAAAACAGGAAAACTATGCAAGCAGTTTATCATAGAGTAAGTATCTAGTACCTAGTATATTTCAGTTTCCCTTCTTGCAGTTTCAGCTAAGCAGCATCAATATGATCCAAAAGTATAAAATAAAAATGTCATCAATAAATAATTCATATAATTAAAAAGACATAATGATGGCTTGAATCATCAGAGGTAGTGACTCCCTTGTATATTGGCCTTGAATTTTTTAGAAGGATCAATTATATTTTTGTTCAAATAGTTTGAGAAAGAAAAGAGATGATTCTCATGTTTTCAAATCATTGCCAATCAAATAGATTGTGCTATTTGAAGAAAGTTTTATGTAATATGTAAAACTGGATATGTAGCATTTGTTTCTCAGCAAAATACTATAGGGTGGTTGCTTTATTCAACTTCTTCCAATTATTTGGAAAATTTTGTATGGTTTCATATGTTCAGGAAAAATGAAGGTTGGCTTTTTTTGTTTTTTTTAATAGATTGTTCATCAAGGAAAACTACTTTATGTTCAGCCAAATTTTTCTCATACCATTTTGTCATTATTGTAATTTGTATATATGTTCAGTTTTTAGAAATGCAATATAGACTTGTGTAACATTATTCACTGTATTTAAGTTGAATAATATCTTCAAAACTCATGTAGCTTTTGCCAAGTTTTGTTATTTTGTCTAATTTTGTGCATGGATTTTTTTTTGAACCGTTGAAGTTTTATATTGGAGAGAGAGAAAGACTGTGAGACAAAGACAGACAAAGAGATAGAGACAGAGACAGAGATAGGAAGGCAGGCAGATAGGGACGGAGAGAAGAGACATGAGGGAGAGAGGGAAGAAGTGGGAAGATTGAAAAATATTTAAGCCCTTTGATAAAAAATCACTAATATTTAATCAATTATTAGAGGAAAAAATGCAGTGAAGAAGGCTGAAAGGAGTAGAACAAAACTGAAAGGTATAATAATATAGTATTTAGCTTTCTAAAACTTATGTAATACTACAGTTATAGATGTCATTCTGTGAGAGGATGACAGTGACAGGGAAGTAGTTCTTTATAGCGCTGAGATATTCTGTGTATATGTGAATCAAAATGTCTCATAATTTTTAGAAATTCCACTTCAAGAGTTAATTGATGATTTAATGAGAATATTGATGGAGAACTTATTTCCTCCCTATGGAGTAGAAGTATCTTTTAAAAAGCTTGCTTGTGAGTATCCTCTTTGGTATACACTGCATTGGGTAATGTACAACTTTGGCTGTTTTTTGTGATTATATTGCTTTAATTTTTAAAATGTTTGAATATAGTAGGTGACAAGAAAAGACAATCTAATATTTAAAGGATTCATGAATGACATTGTTAAAAATAAGTTTATAGTATGAGTTGTATCTGGCTTAGGAAGATTTTTATAACTTTTGATTTTCATATTAACTACTTAATTTATATAATGAGTTTTAAGAAGGGATATTGATGACGCAAAATTAAATGCCACACCACCCAACTGCTGTTAAAGTTCTTATATTTTGTGAGCATTTTAATGAATTTTCATTAAGCACACATGATAAATGTGTATTAATTAATTTTGTTTAACATACTGATAGTAGTGATATAAGTGGTCTATACAGTCTTAAACAGACTTTATAAGCTCCTCAGAATTTCTACTTATTCTTTATTATCCCACAAAACCACAGCAATCTTGACTTATCAGACCATATTATTCTTTCTGGTTCTAAACTTTATGTACACAGTTAACACCTTTGTCTCCTCATTATCTACTATGAATCTTGCATGTTGTATTTTTATAGATTGTTCATAAATACCATATTTCACTATTACAATTATAATACTATTGATAGATGTTTGGAAGTTGTTCTACACCTTCAATTAGATCTAGACAGGTAAAAATTGAAATGATTTTATAGTACAAACTAGGATTTTTTTGTTTTTGAAAGAGAATACAAAATATTATTAACAAATTACAAATGATTCAGAATTTCACTGAACAAAATAGCATGAATATCACAGTGTTTGCTATATTGCATAGTGTTGTCTTCAGATTAGTTGTTCAGATTATCATATATATGCATGCAAAATTGGAAAAAGAAAGAGAAAAGCAGAGTTGGGGAGATGGCTCAGTGGAATAAGTGCTTCCCTGGCAAGCGCAAGGGCCTGAGTTCAATAACCGGTTCCGCAAAAAAAAAAAAAAAAAAAAAAAAAAAAAAAAAGAAAAGAAAAAAGTTATAACAAATTAAGAAGAGGAAAAGAAAAAAATGGAAAAAAGAAGACAAAAAAGTTAAGCATTACATGCTCCTTTCCATATACCAGCAGAAATGCACAGAACAATTATCAAACCCTTCCTGCTTATATACATAGATATATCTCTTTCCCTTTCCCTCTCCTTTTTCGCCATCTCAGTAATTCTTTTTTTTTAAAATACATTCAATTTTACAGTATCAATTGGACCCTTCAGATTTTATTTACTCTTTCTGGTTCTTACAGTAAGAAGACAATATAATGTTTGCACATATGGGCCTTACTCATTTCACCTGAGTATGATCTCTAGTTGCATCCATTTACCAAAAAAAAAAAAAAAAGCCCCAAATTTATCCTTTTTATAACTGAATATTACTCCGTTCTATAAAAATACATCTTCTTTATCTATTCTTCAGTTGACAGGCATTTGGGCTGGTTCTAAGATTTAGCTATGACAAATTGAGCTGCTATAAACACAGGTGCATATAAATTGCTGTGGTGTGATGTTTTCAGTTCTTCTGGAAAATTACACAGGAGGGAAATATCTGGGTTGAATGGGACCAGAAATTTTAGCTTTTTGAGAATTCTCCTCACTGATTTCTAGTGGTTGTACCAGTGTACACTCCCACCAACAGTGGAGAAGTGTTTCTTTTTCCCCACAGCCCCTCCAGAATTTGTTATTGGTTGACTTCTTGATGATAGCCATTCTTTCTGAGGTAAGATGGAATCTCAGGGCTGTTTAATTTGCATTTTTCAAATGACCAAGGAATGAGATTGCATGAGATCAGTGAGAAAATATCAGGTAAGGTAGTTTTCCAATGCTTTTTATTTTCTTCTCTCTGCATTTCCCTTCAACATTTTTTCATGTGTCCTAAATTCCTGAAGTCATGAATGCCTCAGTAATAAACCAGAGATAGCAATATATATTATATAGATGAATTTTATGAGCTTTTTTTAGAAGGCTGTGTATTTGTATAACATGTGTGGAGAATTATGTGTGTGTTATTCCATGTATGTAATATAGGTAAATAATACATTATCTTTATATTCCATTCTATTTTCCTTAATTTTCTCCCTATTTGATTTCTCAGGTCTTCTACTCAAGAGATATTAACCTTCTATCATCCCTCTTAAATTTCTTGCTTCTTGTATCACTTCTTGGAAAAATATAGAAAATTAATGTTTTTACCATTTTTGAATATTAAAGATGACCTTGGTATGGTATAATTGAAAAAAGTATAAGTACTTCACTACTAATCAATTACAATTTGTAATTTTATTCCTAAATAGTAACAACAATGCAATTGTAATACTTCCTGATCATTTTTTATATTTTGACAAAAATATGCATCTATTCAATAAATATTAAGCATTTTGGTGTGTTGCTTTAGATATTATCTTTGAAAAAATAAAAATTGATTAGCAACATTATAATAATCATGACCTAGCAAAACCTTCATTGATAAAAGTTCAATAAGGTTCTGTTGATGTGATAAAAGAAGGTATCTGATGAGGAGAGTATTAGAGACAAATAATTTCATCCTAGTCAACTACTGATAACTTGTTTAAGACAAGCATATTAACCAAGCTATAAGTATGGTACCACACAGTTTTATATCAATTTAGTCTATAACTTCCTTAAGAGACATCCTAGAGATTTCACTTAGCACTCTGTACACAGAGTACTTCAATTTGATGGAATATTGTATATACAAAAATTTACAGTGTTCTTCTGTCTTTAGGATCAGCTGCAGAACACTGCACAGGGGTCTACAGACCAGAGAAGCACATTTTTCTGTAGACTGTGAACTGATAAACTGTGAATCTGGATGCTCCCTCCCAATGATACACCATCTCACCCTGCCTCCTTCTTGTTGCTGGGGATCCCAGGTCTAGAACCTGTTCACCTCTGGATCGGCTTTCCCTTCTGTGCTGTGTACATGATTGCTCTCATAGGGAACTTCACTATCCTGTTGGTGATCAAGGTAGAGAGCAGCCTACATCAGCCTATGTTCTACTTTCTGGCCATGTTGGCCACCATTGACGTGGGCCTCTCTACTGCTACCATCCCTAAAATGCTTGGGATCTTCTGGCTTAACCTCAAGGAGATCATATTTGAAGACTGTCTCACTCAGATGTTCTTCATCCACACATTCACACTTATGGAGTCTGCTGTCCTTCTGGCCATGGCTTATGACCGTTACGTGGCCATCTGCAACCCACTCCGCTATAGCATCATTCTCACCCATAAGGTTGTCTCTGTGATTGGTCTTGGTGTTCTAGTAAGGGCAATTATTTTTGTCATTCCTTTTATATTTCTGATCTTGCGACTGCCTTTCTGTGGGAATCATGTCATTCCCCACACCTACTGTGAGCACATGGGTCTCGCTCGTCTGTCCTGTGCCACTATCAAGATCAATGTCATCTATGGCTTATGTGCCATATGCAATCTTGTGTTTGACATCTTAGCCATTGCCCTATCTTATATACAGATACTCCGAGTTGTTTTCTGACTCCCTTCTCAGGAAGCCCGACTCAAGTCCCTGAGCACATGCGGGTCTCATGTGTGTGTCATCCTTGCCTTCTATACACCAGCACTCTTTTCCTTCATGACACATCGCTTTGGCAGAAATGTCCCCCGCTACATCCATATCCTCCTGGCCAATCTTTATGTTGTAGAACCTCCGATGCTCAATCCGGTCATCTATGGAGTCAGAACCAAGCAGATCTATGATCGTGTGAAGAGAATATTGCTACAGAGACAAATCATGGAAAAGCAATAGCACCTAATACATACAGGGATCCATACACAATTTAATGAGAGTCCAATCAGGGAAATCCATTGTTATGAAAATTACATTCCAATATGTGGACATATTGACTCTCTCGGAGTATTAGAGGACATTGAATCCCCAACTGCTTTTCACAGCACTTCTCTGTATCTGTTTTGTTCTGTCCCCTCAGTCCCCTTATGATTTTATTTTAATAGGTTATTAAATTTTCTGTCTTTGGCAATAGCTGATTGATATTTTAAAATTATAATTTATTAATTTATATTTCATAGAGTAGCATTCTTCTCTCGGTATCTTGAGGACAATTATACATATATTAGGAAAAAATCATGTCATAATTAAATTATGATTAGGGCTTATCCAAGGCCTAGTCCATTGTCTTGCAGGTTGGCTACATAATGAGATAACACAATTGCTGATGCCTCTGGTCACAGTTGAGCCCTCAATGATCCTGCAATGCTGAATGCTTTGAAACCCTAAGGCAAGATTGCTTCAGCTGAATGCATACTGGTTCCTTGAGAACCCAGTAGTAATAAAAATAGGATTTCACCTTGGGGATAGGACAAGCTCTGCTTAACCTGCTATCTCTGCCCACTGTCCTCCTCAACATAAAGATCATCATTAGCATAAGGTCATCTCCATTCTCTGAGTCATCAGATAATCCCTTTATCATTGTATACATCCGATGCATAGTGAGTAGCTCAGAGTGTCCTTGTCTCTGACCATTCTAAGGCATGGCGCTCCCAGACCCTAGTCATGCCTTCCTAATTTTGTTTCTGTTTTTCATTTCACCATTTTCTGCATTCTTCCTACAGGTCATTGGAGATCTTGGCCAGGTCCCCTTGCAATATAACTTTATTTACTTTTTGCATGCCTATTTTCATACTTGCAGGATACTAAGAATAAAACTGTAACTATTCTTTTGTCTTAACTTTGTGTAATTGACAGAGGATAAAACTAGTCATCAAACCCACCTTATAGGTATCTTTATCTCAATAGATTTATAGTGTTAGAATGTAGGCATACTTCTGCCTTCAAATTGTGTAATTTTTACTTATAGAAATCTGCCAATTTTGGCCGGGGAGATGGCTCAGTAGAATAAGTGCTTGCCTGGCAAGCACAAGGCCCTGAGTTCAATCCCTGGTACCACAAAAAAATAAGAAAAATAAAAAAGCAGGAATCTGTCAATTTTAATATAAGGTTATTATTAATTTCATGCACATAAAACAATTATTGTGGTTTCTTTTTCTATTCAAGTCTATTGTCCATAATGTACTATCTTATAATTAACCTGAGTGAGGGTCTTTCAGAATAGTAATTTTCCCTTTGGGTTCTATTGCTCTTATTTCCACATGATTCATTTATTTTGAATGTATATTATATATTATATTTAATGTAAATTATTTAAATATATGTATTTACAATAATTATTACTTTCTAAGTGCCTATGCAACTTGACAAGTACTGAAATAAATTAGGTGATATACCTAAATTTGCTCAAAATAATCTTCTAAGAATTTTAATTTATTTACTGATTTTGTGATTTATATACTAGTATTTTACATTTACTATTGATATATTTTGAATGTTTCCTGTATGTTTATTGTTTTAATAGAGCCAATGTTCACTTATAGATTGAGCTCATTGTTGCTCTGGATTCAATTTTTAAGTAACATAAAATGTTTTAAGATATTTTCTATCCATTTTGTTATACATTCTTCCTTTCTCAAAATTTATCAGTATCAATTTGACTTCTGTGTGAAGAGTAAGTAACCCTAGTCCAGCTTAGGAGAAATACTAGCCCAGGAGAAAAAAACATAGTCAAATAAGTCAAAACTTAAAGATGTTTTATAAAACATTGAATAAATCCCTAAAAGATGTTAAGTTGATTTAAAAAGGAAAATCTGAGAAACTTGCAAAGTCACCAGTTGCTTATGATGACTGTGTGATATTGAATGCACCTAATGCCACTGAATGGACAATAAAATATTATATCATGTACATTTTATAAAAATTAATAAATATTCATTATTAAAATATCACTTTTTTCTTAATATTATTTATGTATAAAAAATCTATACATGAAGATTACATAATGGAATACTAGACAGCAATAAAATAGGCAATTGATTTGCTACCATAGAGATGAGCTTAAAGGATATTTTATTAAATGAAATAATCCCCAAAAGACAAATACAGAATGATATTCATACATTGAAATTGTTAAAAAATAACATACAAATAAAAATTAGAGTGGTGATTATTGGTGCAGTTTGGAAAGAATGTTGTTTAGGTGTTGATCAGCAAGATTTCTCATAGGAAGAATAATTTCAGCAAATTGATTGTACAACATGGTGACTATAATTGGTACCAGGTCCTTGTGTCCTTAAAAATTCCCTGAAAGAGAATATTAAGTGTCCTAATCACAAAACTGATTAAAAACAGAGGGTGATATGTGCATTATTTAGGCAGATGCAGTCATTGTACAATA